GTAGTCATATTTTTTTTCTTATTGACCAGCAAGCTTTTCAAAAATAAAACTTAGTCGATACAAATTATTAAAGTTCAATATGCTACATTCCATCAATATACATGATAAAATATATATATTTTTTCACATTTTAATGTCCTAGAAATTGACATACATCGTATAACTAATGGTGTCTTATAGTCATTGTCAGCCAAGTGGCATCCATGACATAGTAGTCAATTGCCTCTTTTGCATGTACTTTGTCACAACTATTTATACAGTATCATCACTTCAGTCAAGTTTCTTGAATCATCAGTGCAATTAATGTTGAGTTTTACTGCTTTTTAAAATACCTTCAAAACATTATCATTTGGTACTGAAACAGAGTTACTGGCACTAAAAGAGGGAAACAAAGCAGCAGGACATCTGAAAAAAACAAACTCAGTGCTGTCGAGTCGATTCCAACTCATAGCAACCCCTCCTTGGGTTTCCGAGGCGATATCTCTACAGAAGTAGATTGCCTTGCTTCTGAGGAGTGGCTGGTGGGTTTGAACTGCCAGCCTTCTGGTTAGCAGTCAAATGTCTCAGGCACTACCAGGACATACATTTATCAATAAAGCAAATGTCACTGGAAGAATTACCACAGTTCCATATTTTCTTCCTCAATCTATTTTGGATTTTGTTTTTCAACATGTGCTGTTTATTCCCTCCTTGCCCAGTCCTCCTGATCCATTCTTGGACTTTTTTTCTGTGTGCTAGGAAACGAAAGCCTATAAACGATAGTACCTTTGTTGTGCTTCCAGCTGGCTTCTGACTGGTTTGCTGAATGAAAGGCACTAGCAGGAGAGAGGAGCCAAGTGGTTTTCACCCCCCGCCCCCGCTTTGGTAACGCAGTTCTGGAAGTGGCTGTGAGCTTCCTAGATTCTACCTTTTGTTGGGTGGCAGCTTTGATTGCATACAGGTAATGCTTTTTAATAATAATTGTTAATAATAATAAAAATTATTATTATCACTTCAGTACCCTTTCTAGCAAAGGGACTGTAATAGCTTTCTACAACTGCCAATATCTGGATACTCTATATCTCTGTTGGTTCCTTTAGTTTATTCCTGTGTTCTCCTTTGTAAACTGTTGTTATTGTTGTTAGGTGCTGTCCAATCATCTCTGACTCACAATGACCCCACACACAGCAGAACGAAACACTGCCTGGTCCCGTGCCAGCCTCACAGTCCTTGCTATACCAGAGCCCATCACTGTAGCCACTGTGTCAATCCATCTCATTGAGGGCCTTCCCCTTCTTCGTTGACCTGCCGCTTTACCAAGCATGATATCCTTCTCCAGGGAATGTTTCCTCCTGACAACATGACCAAAATAGGTAAGACGAAGTCTGGCCATTCTTGCTTCCAATGAGCATTCTGGCTGCACTTCTTCCAGGACAGATTTGTTAGTTCTTTTAGCAGACCATGGTACTCTTAGCATTCTTCTCCAACACCACAACTCAAAAGCATCAACTCTTTGTCAATCTCCCTTGTTAATTATCCAGCTCTCACATACACAAGAGGTGACTGAAAAATACAATGGCTTGGTCAGGTGCACCTTAGGCTTCAAGGAGACATCTTTGCTCTTCATCCCTTGAAAGAAGTCTTTTGCAGCAGATTTGCCCAATGCAATATGTTGTCTGATATCCTGACTGCTGCTTCCATTGGTGTGGATTGTAGAACCAAGTAACATGAAGTTCTTGAAAACTTCAATCTTTTCTCCATTTATTGTGAAGCTGTTAATTGGTCCAGTTGTGAAGATTTGTTTTCTTTATATTGAGGTGTAATCCATACTGCAGACTGTAGTCTTTAATCTTCTTCAGTAAGTGCTTCAAGTCATCTTCACTTTCAACAAGCAAAGGTGTGTCATCTGCATATTGCAGGTTGTTAATGAGTCACCCTCTAATCCTGATGCCACGTTCTTTATCATATAATCCAGCTTCTCGAATTATTTACTCAGCATACAAGTTGAATAAGTATGGTGGAAGAATACAACCTTGATGTACTCCCTTCTTGATTTTGAACCATGCAGTATCCCCTTGTTCTGTTCGAATTACAGCTTCCTGACCCACATACATATTCCTCATGAGCACAATCAAGTGTTCTGGAATTCCCATTCTTCTCTTTCTTGTATTCTTTGCTTTCAGCTAAGATCCATCTGACACCAGCAATTATATCCCTCATTCCACATCCTCTTCTGAATCCAGCTTGCATTTCTGGAAGTTCTCTGTCAATATACTGCTGCAACTGTTTTTGAATTACCTTCAGTAAGATTTTAGTTGCATGCGATATTAATAATATTGTTTGATAATTTCCACATTCTGTAGGATCACCTTTCTTTAAAATGAGTATAAATATGGATCTCTTCCAGTCAGTTGACCAGGTAGCTGTCTTCCAAATCTCTTGGCATAGCTGAGTGTATGCCTCCAGCAGGGAATCTGCTTGTTGAAACATCTCAAAGGGTATTCTGTCAATTCCCGGAGCCTTACTCTTTGCCAATTTCTTTCGTGCAGCTTTGACTTCTTCCTTCAAGACCACTGGTTCTTGATCATATGCCACCTCCTGAAATGAATGAAGATCGACCAGTTCTTTTTGGTACAGTGACTCTATGTATTCCTTCCATCTTTTTGATGTTTCCTGCATCATTCATTATTTTTCCCATAGAATCTTTCAATATTGCAACTCAAGGCTTATTTTTTTTCCTCAATTCTTTCAGCTTGAGAAATGCTAAGCCCGTTCTTCCCTTTTGGTTTTCTAACTCCAGGTCTTTGCACATTTCATTATAGTAGTTGGCTTTGGCTTCTAGACCTGCTCTTTGAAATCTTCTGTTCAGCTCTTTTATCTTATCATTTCTTCCATTTGCTTTAGCTACTCTTTGCTCAAGGGCAAGTTTCAGAGTCTCTTCTGACATTCACTTTGTTTTTTTCTTCCTTTCTTGTCTTTTTAATGACCTCTTGCTTTCTTCATGGATGATGTTCTTGATGTCATCCCACAATTTCTCTGGTTTTCAGTCATTGGTGTTCAGTGCATCAAATCTATTCTTTAAATGGTCTCTAAAATCAGGAGGGATATTAAAGGTCATTATTTGGGCTCTTGTGGACTTGTTTTAATTGTCTTCAACTTCAATTTGAACTTGCATATGAGCAGTTGATGGTCTATTCCACAATCAGCTCCCGACCTTGTTTTGACCAAAAATATTAAACTTCTCCATTGCCTCTTGCCACAGATATAGTCAATCTGATTCCGGTGTATTCCATCTGGTGAAGTCCACATGTATAGCCATCACTTATGTTTTTGAAAAAAGGTATTTGCAATGAATAAGTCATTGGTCTTGTAGAATTCTATCATGGAATCTCCAGCATTATTTCTATCACCAAGACCATATTTTCCAACTACTGGTAAATCTTCTTTGTTTCCAACTTTTGCATTCCAGTCATCAGTAATAATCAACACATCTTGATTGCATGTTTGGTCAATTTCAGACTGCAGAAATTGGTAAAAATCTTCAATTTCCTCATCTTTGGCTTTTGTGGTTGGTGTGTAAATTTGAATGATAGTAGTATTATCTGGTCTTCCTTATTGGCATATGAGTATTATTCTTATCACTGACAGTGTTGTACTTCAGGACAGATCTTGAAATAGCCTTTGTGATGATGAATGCCTCACCATTCCTCTTCAATTTGTCATTCCTGGTATAGTAGATCATATGATTGTCTGATTCAAAATGGCCCAAACCAGTCCATTTCAGCTCACCAATGCCTACATCAGGGTTGTATCCTTTCCTCATTATTCAATCTATATGCTGAGCAAATAATCCGAGAAGCTGGACTATATGAAGAAAAACGTGGCATCAGGATTGGAGGAAGAATCATTAATAACCTGAGAT